TCACGTGAAAGTGGAGCTCACCATGCTCATCGAGCAGAGCTGGAGGAGGCCTTGCCTCAGCTGGGCTCTCGCGGGGAGAGTCAGCACTTGCTGGAACGGCGTCTGCGTCCATACGACGCCGGCGTCCACGACGCGAGCGTTCCCGTTCACCGCCCATCGGTCGATCTCGAAGAGATGATCCACCTTGTGGATAGATTAGAGCCACCACTGTTGACTCACAACCAGGTCTCGGACCTTGAGCGTCCAGTCGCTCGGCTGAGCGTTCAGCTTGGCTTGCTCCTATCTCGAGCACTTCGCTCCTCGACCTGTGGCTCTGCCACATGCTGTTGATCAGCCATCTGTGGATCCACCACTTGCTGTCGTTCAGCCTCCCGTGGCTCTACCACCTGCTGCCCTGCAGCTGTCCGTGGCCCAGCCACCGTTGGTGCCAACGCCTCCGCGCTCACCTGAGCAGGGTCTTGATATGGCTTAAGCAAGCCAACATAGAAGACCGGATGCGTGCGCATCTTCTTCGGAAGGTTGAGCGTATACGCTAGGCCCTTCCTGACCACGACCTTAAACGGTCCTATAAACCGAGGTCTTAACTTCGTTTTAAAGACTGCAGACACTGCATGAGTAGGTAGGTTTTAGCGTTTAATAAAACTTGGTCTTCGACCTCGAACCTCTCAACATTGCTTCTGCCCTTGGCATCTGCATGTTCCTTCTGCGTGTCTTGGCTTTCAGCCATAGCGTCGCGTACTTGACGCATTACGCTCAGTCTCAAAGAGACAAAGTCATCGACTTGCTTGCGAACCGCAACAGGGATGCCATCAGCTAGCCGCTCGGCTATCCCTCCCCCATCAAGCCCTGAGCCACTGCGTGGCGGCGTCAGTGGGACGCGAGGTATAATCAAGCCGTTCACATAGAACGGAGTGTAGCCTGTCGAGGCGTGCACTGCATTATTTAATGCGAACTCAACGAGTGGGAGCATCTGGCTCCAGCGTTTTGGCGCCTCAGCGCATACGCTTCGGAGGGTATCCTCCACAACGCGATTCACGCGTTCGGTTTGACCATCGGTCTGCGGATGGTCCGCTGTGGACATGTCCAAACGAGTGCCGAGCACTCTGAAGAGGGACGTCCAGAACTTCGCGGTGAAGCGCGGGTCTCGATCCGAGACAACTGTCTCAGGCAAGCCATGTTGGCGAAAGACTCGGTCTAAAAACAGCAAAGCTGTACCTTCACCATCAATGGTGTCCGGCACTGCCGCTAAATGAGCCATCTTGCTCAATCGGTCTACAAAGACCACTATACCCGTGTTTCCCACCTTATCCTTGCGAAGGCCAAACACAAAGTCCATACTCATGAACTGCCAGCATCCCTTGGGGACAGGCAAACTCGCCAATGGCGCTGCCGTGCTCGGCGCGGACTTTGTCCGTTGACACGTCTCACACGTGCGTACATAGGTTCCGACCCACTTATACATCTTGGGCCACCAGTACATCGAGCTCACCGAGCCATAGGTCTTCTCCCGACCTAAGTGCCCGCCCACGGGCGTATCATGAACCTCGTAGAGGATTCGATACTTTAGATCCTCATCATGAGGAACGACTACACGAGGGTTATCCTCAGAGTCGGTGCTGTAGTACAGCAGGCCGCCATCGAGTGAGTATCGATGCAGCCTCGCGCGTAAGCGCCCAAACAATTCCTTGTCAGAGTCTTTAGACTCTTCGCTCCCAAGAGCCCGTAGCAGCGCTACGCACATGTCGTCTTGTGCATACGCTCCGCGTATCAAGTCAGGCACTGACGACGTCATTGTCGTGACATGAGCTAACACGTAGTCCGGCCTGCGCGAGAGCGCATCGGCCACTACATTAAGCCGCCCCGGCTTGTACTTCACCTCGAAGTTATACTCGGCAAAGAAGGAAAGCCATCTTGCCATTCTCTGAGAGAGATGGAGGCGACTGTGTCGCAGTGCGTAGCGACGCATGATCAGTAAAGATCACAAAAGGCTTAGAGCCTAGCAGGTGTACCCTGAATTCGACTAGAGCATACTTCATTGCAAGTAGCTCTTTGCCATGAACTGGATAGTTCTTCTCTGCAGCTTTGAGCTGGCGAGACTCAAACGCGATCACGCGTTCACGCCCTTCGGCGTCTGCTTGTAGTAAAGCACAACCGATTGCAAAATCGGAGGCGTCACAGACGACGCTAAACGGACTATCCGGGTCCGGTAGCGCAAGGATCGGAACCTGGAGAAGGCTCTCCTTCACAGCCTCAAACGCTCCGTCGTGCTCGACGTTCCAGCACCATGGTGCGTCCTTCTTAAGGAGATCTGATAATGCTTACGCAGAAGACTGTGCTGCGGCACGTGAAGCTACACCTGAAGATCCGACACCAGACCCGATGGAAGGGCATGGTGGACCAGGGCAAGACGGTGCGCGTGCACGGTGGGGTGGGCGCCAAGTTCATGACGACCGGAGCGGGCCTGTCGGACGACGACTACCGCTTCGGGGTGAAGGGCCGCCTCAACCGAGTCGACACCAACTCGGTGCTCAAGCGCAAACGACTGCGGGCCCACAAGACCTGCAGGGACCCAACCTGCTCCTCGGCTGAGACGCTGGCACATGTACTCAACCACTGCGAGTCCAACATAGACGCCATTCGCCAGCGTCACGACGACGCCCTGGAGCAGATTGGGTCCAAGATCCGCGGAGCGCTCGACCGCGCCAAGTCTCCCACAGAGCTGCGCCTGAACCAGACTGTACCCGAGTACACAGGCGCAGCTCTACGCCCAGACATTGTGCTTAGGAACGTGGCCGCCAAGACGATGGTGATCGCCGACTTGGCGGTCACATATGAAGCCAAAATTTTGCGGTATTCGGTCGGTATCGGATCGCTTAAAAGCATTGTACAATTTGTTGATTCGACGTCACGAAATTCGTACCAAAAAGCTCCCTTCTGTAGGTAACCTTCAAGTACAGCTTATGCAAGTGATGCATCGTCTGCGCGCGCGATATGGCGATCAAGAAAGTAACATAGCAGACGACGTTTTTGCGGAGGACCCAAAAAAAGGGAAAATGCTGTTTCTATATACGCATTTATGATGCATCGGTATTTAAATTATGAAAAAAAACCTCTCGCGTGGCCGAGAATGGCAATCGAACATATTGAGCCATCTTGTATCATTTGATATTTCTGCACTAAAGTTTCATCGCTGCATTCTCTGCTGAACATAATGCGTTAAACCGGAAGTTTGCGCTGCATATCTCAGTTTACGACTTCGTTTATTGAGTATGAAGAAATTGCTTAATTGCTCACTTTATTTGACCTATCTGAAATAGATCAAGGGTGCTGCTTCATAATACAATGATGAACAGTTGTACATTACTGTATAACACTCCAGACTACACTAAGGATTGCGCTCTACAACTCGCGGCAAAATAGCCACACCGTATTTGCTCACAATAGCTGTCGAATTCACACTTTTGATAAAGTCTGTCAGCCCAAGTCAGCTCTACTTACCGAGCGAAAGCCTACCGTTACGTTCCATTTGCAGCGAATGTAGTATTAAACGCTGTCCCGATTATTTTATTAATAAGCTACTGTAAAGCTTGTGGAAAGCGGTTTTTCTGGTGATTTGAGCCCTCCCACCTTTTGGTGCTAGTAGCCACAACCCTGGTGTAACCATCCCTTTTCATGGTGGCGAAATCTCTCCCTCCAAAGTAGGCCGTGATTACTTTTGAAGATTTTCTACCGCGATAGGATTGAGAATGCTACATCAGTGTTTGGGCTGGGACAATCCTAGTCACCGTGAGGTCATTACCCAGTGCTGCTTTATCAAGTAGCTGGTCATGAAGGGTTTATTTACAAATTCCTCAGCTAATAGGCTCACAGACGGATATGTAGTGGACGAAGACCGATCGAAACGATTGATGTGATCCATCAAGATAGGTCTCATTAATCTTGCACGTGGTTGGACTCGAGACTCGGTCTAGCAGGCGTGCTGGCGTTTCCGCGTGTACCTGCGTACGGCTCGTGACATACACACCGGGTGTGAAGGTCGCGCTGTTTTTATTCTAGGTGCTCGAGTTTTCAGATCATTTAACGGCTTGCAATCCCTTAATCGAATTTGGTTTCCACCTCTCAAAACCCGGATAGTAGTAGTAGCGGTATTAATACTATCGAGACTTATTAAACAGAGCTACCGGGCAACGCCTGACATTTTATTATACATGTAGTATCGAAAGGTAGGTATTTGAACAAAAATATCCTAACGAATATTATAGTAGCATACCAAAGATTACTACTATTATGATTATCGAATACACATGGTAGAAGTATGACTGCTACTACATGTAATAGCTATCGGTATTGTAGCATCCTACGGTATTCCTTTTTCTTTACAGATGCCGCTCCCACTTCTGATTCCTAAATTTTAGGCATATGCCTTAGGGTATTATATCTAAACTTATTTTCCAATATAAAAAGTACGCAATAAAACAGATAAATGTTGTTAACCGGGTATTAGATAGTGATGATATTATTAATAGAAGTGGGAGTGGTATTTGTATCTACTTCTTATTCTGATCTCCTCCATCATGCTTTTTATAGTTGCGCTACCAGCCCCATCCTCTAGTGTTGCTCAATACTAGCGCTATGATAAAATCATTTTAGAGCTCCATAGTTTATTACGCTTTGACCGCACTTTTAAGGAGACCATAAGGCGTACCGTACAAAAATGCACTAGCAGATATGGTATTAAGACACGACGCGTCAGTACGTGCCGAACCAGGTCAAGTTGGCAGTGTTGGTGTATCCTAAACAAACTTCCTTATACAAGAGGTCGAATGAGCCGACGTGCAAGTGAGGTTTCCGGGCATGCAACATATAACTTGTAAAACGCATTAGGACTTAAGAATAGTTTGGCCACAAACTAAAGTTAAGCATACTGGAAGTCTGGAGTGTTCTTGTTTCTTCTGCAGCAACTGTAGCACGGTGCGCAGCCTTACTTGCGCATCAGAAGCTTTTGGTCAATGAGGATTTATTACTATGCATAGTCCTACATGGAGACTAAAACCTGCTCACCGACGCTCAGTTACTGTCGGTCGTGTCGTGCTCTGCGCCAGGATTCGGATTCTGAATCACGATAAGTGCGTAGTCTTTGTCTATAGCGACAGGAATTTCAGTTATGTATGCAATTACAGTTGTATACAGTTGCTGTAGCTAGGTGACGTACCAGGGGCGATCATAATCTCATGCTTCTTGGACCGAATACGGAGAAAAGTCATGTCGTTCGTGGGGTCCAAAGTGCGGATCGTGGACTTGGCCTTGGCCGCCAGCTGCGAGATGAGCGCCGCATGGTCCATAGCGAACTCGTCATCGTTCGTGCTCGAGTAGATGGGTACACCCTCCTGGTTGACAATGAGTACGGCTTGCACGCCCTTGTGGCTCTTGATACGCTTGATGGTCTCCTCGGCTTCGTATCCCGGCTGGTCGCGAGCAGCAGTGGTAGGTTAGAGTGGGGTTTAGCTACAAAGATAGGGAGAGACGTAGCTGCAGGTAGCGCACCATGGCAGCGACGATCTGGAGCTCCTCAAGGAATCCGACGTTTGAATCAAAAAGTCGCCGGTGTTATGTTGCACAATTGTAATGTTGCACCAATGAATTTTCGCTTAATAGAAATGCTGATACGACCATTCTTTAATATTGGCGGTAGTACTACTGAAGTTTTAAAACAATACAAGTAATTATTTAGTAGTATTACAGCCTATTTATTACAGAAGTATTACAGCCTTTTACATTCTATTACAAAGATACCCTCATTAGAGCGCTGCAAAGTACCGTATTCCTTATGTGATTGGCGACGCTCGGTCATTAGCGACAAATCCAGCAGCCAATCAAATTTATTTAAATTTCGTGTCGTCGCGCTTTATGTGCTTGGCGACCAATACAATTTTGAGCATGTAATACAGTTTTTCTATGCAGGTATCTTTTATGCTGGCAGAAAGGCTTGACCACCAAGAATTTGACTGTCGCCAATCACATAAGGAGTACGGTACTAGTATTAATATACTTCCACATTTAAATGTTTCTCCAGTTTATCATTTTCATGTTGCTCAGGTTTCGCACACCCATTAAAAACTACATGTAGTAAACTCCCCAAAAATCTTAGGCCGTGTTCGATTTAAGCTAAAACCAGCTGTAATTGGTATTAAAGAGCTGGAATGTCTCAACCAGCTTTATTCCGCTAAGAAACACAAAAAATGACATCCAGCAGGATAGCTCCAAACGACTGGTTTCAAAATTTAGCTCTGGGTTGAATTTTGAAATCATCCTGCTTTGTGCCTTCAAATCCAGTCTTTTTCTGATGGAACACGATCACTTATTTTATCTTTATTTTACTTAACAAAACGACTGTTCTACAGCTCTAGCTTATTTTCGAACAAGCTGGATTTGCCCCTGCAAGCCGAACACGGCCTTAATGCGCTGTGAAATAAGGATAACTAAGCGCATCTCAACGACATTATCGCAGTTTCATGTGCATGTCCATTCGATCAACGTGCAGCCTTCAGCTAGATGCGCCGGTGGAAATTACGGATATTCAGGGCAAGAACTACGAGTCTGAATGGTGGGTTGACAGCGATTTCTTGTAAGGTAGTGAGTGACGTGGCAAGGTCAGTAAGTGTGGAGTGCTCTAAGTCGTTAGGAAACTTTACTGCGCAGGTCGACAACAAAGCAATAACTGATTCACTGTGTCATTGCTACGAAAAAAATGCTACAACAACGTCATGATCTAAAACAATACCAGAACCGCACACTATAATAACTGTGTGGCTTCCCTGCTCGTATGGAACAGCCAGCAGCGTATCAATAGGAGGTGTGGGATCCGAACCCATGTGTAGTGGATTGGTAGGGTTGTACCCAAGCCCACTTCACTGTTCTGACCCTAGCAATACTCTAAAATTATTGCAATACTTATTATTGGCTCCGACATTATTTCAGAAGCGTACCGGTATTACTTTTTTCAGCGAAGCCAGTTCAAATATATATTTAATTTTCCGAGCCGCATCAATGGTGGAGAATGGCACAAAGATACAATTTTGTGCCATTCTCCGTTCTATGCTCGTACAGGTGTTCTTTAAAATTGTGAACAGAGCAAAAACTCAAACAAGACCAATTTTGGTCCAAAAAGACCGGACTAAAAAAGTCAATGTTGGCTCAAATCAAAATAGTATCACCGAATCTCGCCAAAGATGCCGCCCCGCACGCCCCGGAGCTCGCTCAAGAAGCACGACGCGGCCGCCGAGTCACGAGCGCTGAAGGCGCGACGTCAGCGTACCACAGCTCAGGTCCGCAAGGACAAGCGTCGAGCCGCAGTGCAGACCAAGCGTCGACGCCTCATGTCGGCAGAGCAGCCTCCTCTTACCAACCGCAGTATCGCCGAGCTTGTCCGCGTTTTAGGAGATACGAGCAACGCTTCAGCCACCCAGAGCCAGGCGCGCTTCGAGACGCTAAAGGAGATTCGCGTGCTGCTAGCCAGCCACGAGAACGACTACGAGCAGGTGGAGCAGATCATCGAGTCCGGAGTACGTTGCGCTCTGCATCAGCTGTCCTATTGAAGTGTTTTACTATACAAAACCTGTCTCATGGGACACTTCAAATGGAACAGAGGAATCTATTTGTGGCAACCTTCTCTAATTTGTGGCTCTTATTTGTGGCAGATTGTGCCCGTCATGGTCTCCCTGCTCAACTCGGCTTCACCACTGGCCAGCGCCACTCGCACAGGCGGAGAAGTGTACCGTGAGATCCTGTGGTGCCTCACCAACATCGCCAGCGGCCAGTACGAGCACACGAAGCTGGTCTTACCTGCTGTGCCTCGCCTTCTCCAGTTTCTCGAGGGGTCCAACCATTCCCTAGCGGAACACTCGGCTTGGGTCTTGGGCAACATCGCAGCGGACTGTGAAGAGTTCCGCCAGCAGCTTATCGCTAATGGGGCCGTGTTGCCCTTGGTAAAATTACTGAGTAACCCTAAAGAGAAGGAGCTAGCCAAGACAAGTGCATGGGCACTCTCGAACTTAGCGCGCGGCTTCGAGACGTCTGCCAAGCCATTTGTGGACGCAGGCCTCGTGCCCGTTGTGGTCAAAGGCCTCTCGCAGCCTCCTTGCTCTGCCACCTTCAGTGAGGACATCGTGGTCGAGGTGGTATGGCTCCTGAGCTTCTTAACAGCTCGGGAAGACGAGTATCTGAAGCTCATGCTGGAGAACGGCCTGGTGGATCTACTTGTGCCCTACTTCTCGACCACGAACGAGCTGCTACTAACCCCGATCTTGCGTGTGTTCGGCAATATTTGCTGTGGCTCGCCGGACCACCATACGGACGAATGGCAATTGCCATTTGTGCGTCGTTTAGTGCGTGCTGACTCTGTGGTTTTGCCCAAACTAAGCGAATTCCTCCAGCCCCAACAGGCTGGCACGCAACAGAAGTCTCTGGCGGCTGAAGCTGCGTGGGTTGTGTCCAATCTGGCAGCTGCAGAGGCTTCTGTTGTGGACTTGGTGATGCAGACGCAACTCCTCCCTCTATTGGGACGACAGTTTAAAGACGGCAGCTACGAAGTGCGTCGTGAAGTGGCCTTTGCACTCACCAACATCGCACTGACTAGCGCCGCACACATGGAGAGGGTGCTGGTGCTGGATGTGCTGAAAGGGTTCTTACATCTCCTTACAGTGGCCGACGTAGCCATTGTCGGGAACTCGCTGCGCTTTATTGAAAACGTGCTGCGAGTGGCTACACGCGGCGTGTCTCTAGTTGAGGTGAACGAAGGGATTGACGCACTGGAGACGGTGCAGTTTGAGTGCGGAGAAGAACATTTGTCCAAATGGGCAGCTGCGTTGGTGAACGAATTCTACGGAGAGAACTACGGAGTCAACTCGCCACCGAGTGCTGGGGGCGTCTCCGGGTTTAACTTTCCAACGGGAGAACCTGTGCAGTTCCAATTGGGAGGTCAACAGCAACCTGCAGGTCCTGGCGGCCGAGGGCGTGGCGCACACATGACTACGCCTGCGTGGAAGAAGTAAAGCTATTAATAGGATCATCAAAGACGACAAACTACTTTTCCTTAGTTATCAGATGACAACGTCACGGCCATAGCAAAGAAACATTTTTTTTCTTATGACGGTACGCAATGGCGAACTTCGGTGCGTAATGACTCGAGTTATGTTCTTCTAGGCGACGGAGTTTACGGGCATGGCTTTGGTACGTGACGATGCAACGTACAGGCACTGCCGGCGCGAAAGTGAGCGCGGGGTAGGAATTGAAATTGCAAACAGAGCTAGGAAGGTTAGCTCGGATTGAGCTTAAGCATGTGCTACCACTGATTCAAGTCC